CAGAATGTTCAGCCAGAGCATCAACACAGTCGACACTGCTGAAGTCAAAGAGGAGGAGGACGATGAAGACACAGCTGCCAATAATTTTGGTGAGTAACCTCATCCGGACTTCAAACCCATCATCGATCGACGAAATCAAGAGCAAATTTTCATTATGTCGTAATAAACATTCGCACCAATCCGAGAAAAATAAAGTTTTGTTTTGATGACCGAAAAGTTATTCCTATTTCCAAGTAAACACATATAATCTCATAGTGATAGCAAGGTTTAACATATTTAGCAGGGTTTTAATCATACAAATGCAAATCGCTAGCTTTCATGCTAAAAAACACTGGTTTTTGAGTCAAAAGTTATTATACGTCGTTTGGTGGCCCCTATTGTTACTTAAGTCAAAGTGTATATACCAGGATATTCGGGAGAATTATCAATTACGTCTCCTTACGTGCAGCCCATTCATCATTTTAGGACCACCGAAATCATCTTAGCAACAAACAGTTCGATCTATTCACTTTAATAATGAGAAAACGAAACGACGAACGTACACTTTTCACGGGTTTCTCAGCGCTGTTACTTAAGTCAAACGGCATCTCCATAGAAATTGGGTGACTTAAGTAACATCGAAAACTTTTTTGATCGGAAGGTGATTACGTCAAAAAGCAATTTGACTGGTAAATAAATTTAAAAATGGGATTTGATCCTATATTCGGACAGTATATAGTGTAATAGCAGGAGAATCGATTGACACTGATAGCTCGACTTTGTTTACCTTTGTTACATTCGACGTAATGAAAATTTGCTCTTGAAATCTAAGTGAAAACCGGTGAGGAAGACGAAGAACAAATCAAGCGGAACATTGCATTAGCTCCTTAGTAACATTGGGAGATTCTCTTCGTCGACTTTCTCTTTGTATGCCCACGGCCAAGTAAAGACATTTCCAGGTATTTTCAGCACACAGATCGATAAAAGAAGCTTTTATCTAGTATCTAATATGACAAACACAGCTAGAAACGGTTCTGGGATTAAGTTATTAACGAAAGAGATAGTCGACGAAGAGAATCGATCAATGTTACTTAGGACCTAATGCTCCAAGCTACTGCAGATGGTTCAGAAAGAGTGGAAGGAAAGGGTTCTTGGCGATCTGAAGATTCCCAAGAGTAAATCCGATCCAACCAAGTACATGATTGACGAGACGAAGAACGAAACATGCTCCGAATATAATGAATAATAGTAAAAAAAGCAACTTTTTTCCTTCTGGATAAAATATTTTCTTTAAAGAAGTTATGTTCAACTTCAACGGAGACTTCCTTTGGCGGCCGCAGCAGAATCTCGGTGGTGTATCGCAGAAAACGGCAGGTTGTTGAGCGATGGGAACTTGATCACCACATCAAGCCGGTTTTTTGTTGTTGTTTTGCTTGACAGCAGCTTTTTCATATGTTGCTGTGATGTGAAAAGTGAAAATGCAAATCTAGACTAACATTTGAAAAGGGCGTAATTCCAAAATGACCATATCGAGAAAATCGCTTCTGAATTTTGTTGACCTAAAAATTAATCCTATTTCACGACTTTCCATTTTCTGGTTGATTTTATAAGCTTGACATATAGTTAATAGTGTAATCTATCATCATGCATCACTAAAAACTCAAAAAAAGTTTTCTTTGTCGTGAAAATGAGAAGAAAACATCATACGCCCTGATAATTTCATACATGTTGTTACCCCCCAGATCTTCCACCCTTTGAACTGCCAACACTGGTGATACGCCGTGGAAGTACACCCTCGGGATTTTTTGTTTGTTGTTCCGCCTTGGTTCTTCGTTCGCAAATTTTGTGAGAGTGGAATTACGCCCGGAGATGTTTTGGTCTTCTTTTTGTTCGTTGTTTACACGTGAACTATCAATCGGATGCATTTCAAGTGAATCGGGCGTGACTAGATACCACAGAATCAAAACATTTGGCATATTAAAACGATATAATTCGTAGTTCTGGTGCAAGGCGAAACAACCAGATTCATCATAGAGTTGAAAGTTGGAAATACGCCATGTAAGAAAAAACATTTTTGATGATTTGAAGTGATATTTTCTTCTACTTTTTCGTGTTTATCGAGTAGTTTTTGAACTATTCTCTCTATATGTGGCAAAATATGGTTTGTTTACATTTTGGCTCTTCCGCCCCTTTCAAATGTTAGTCTAGAAATGACAGTGATCTTGCTCACTGAGCAATGTGAGTTACGCGAGGCGCCTCAAAAGCAACTCTAAAATTGCTCATGATTAGATGCTGTCTTACCCCTTGAGCCAAACGAACTGTCAAAGCCAGAGCCAATCGAGCAGCGCCTATCTTGATTGCATTGGTAGTGTTGCTAGAAATCACCTAGGCATATGTTGTCAAGGCAGTTTATTTTGAATCCGCTCCTCTCTTACACAGAAAAAATTCTGAATTTTAACTATCGCGTAAAATCTCCCCTCGTTTAATTTTGAGTTACGCTCAAAATAATCGACACGTTGAAATTACGTGAAAAATCACGTAAGCTCTCTCTTTTTCCACTCCCCTCAGTTTTACGTGACTCACGTAGAATGTATGTGATACCCCTTGAATATCGAAGGGATTTCCGATTAAGCTCGTATCACCAGGATTGTTTGGGATCCGTATCGGATATAATTAAAATTTTTCTGATGTCGTGTTTTTTGGAATATGTGCATTAATAAATAAAGAAATATTATTAGATTTCTATACAGAATTGATTTTATCTTATAAGGAAAACTTTTGTAAACAACTTTAAACAAAATGTGATACTGAAATCCACCAGTCAATGCCATCGACAAATTCATGTAACTGCTACGTGATAATCCAGTGACATTTCTCGATGAACATTTCAAATGGTCCTATCTGCTTTGATCGATTCTCTTCATCGACTTTCTCTTTTCATAATCACTGCTATGCAAACAGATTTCACGCTAATTCTACCACATAGTTTGATAAAGGAGGTTCTTATCTAGCGTCCAAAACATCAAATACAACTGGGAAGGGTTTTTCAGCTGAGTTATTAACGAAAGAGAAAGTCGATGAAGAGAATCGATCAAAGCAGATAGGACCATTTGAAATGTTCATCGAGATTTGGGCTCAATAAAATGAGTACCCCTGCATGACAATCACGCAGCTCTTACGTGAAATGTACACTCAAAAATATTACAAAACGAATATAGATTAAATTTTATGCATTTTATACATTGGTTCGATTAAAATTTTCGTCAAAATTATACTAAGTCCGAATAACGGAGTGGAATTCGATCAGTGTTTACTAAAATGACAGGAAAAAGAACATCTGGATTCCCTTCGGAGCTTCGTGCTGGTGAAAAGCTTTGTCCCGGCGGATTTCTACTGCGCCTGTAATCTGCTGGGCAGCATCGAAATTGTAAGTATTTTTTTTAAATAATATTCATTAAAAATAAACTAATTAAAAAAGCTTCCTGAGACAATTTTTATTTCTATTCGAAAACAATAATATTTACCATAAATAAAATAAAGAAGCGAAAAATACATTCTCTCGAATAAACCGTACCTATGCATTGTAAGTATATTTCGATTTTATACTATGGCACGCATAAACCATTTTTATACTAAGTTTGCATTCTCTCCCTTTATATCGACCTTTGCGTCGGTACGGAGAGTTGCGATTTAGCGTAACTTTTATACTATTTAGATTTCAATATTTTTTGAGTATATGATGGAAAATATCTACGTATGTTTTCATGTAGCATTGAGGTGAACATTATTTTGAGTTATACTTGCGAAATAGTTTACAAGCTTGCATGCAATATTGCTAGTTTATGCGATATTGCGCTTAAATTTACTCGAAATATCGCGTAAAGTTATACCAAATCTAGAGTTAATTTTATGTGCGCTATATATCGCAGAAAATTACAAGAATTTTTCAAACGGTGTAAACTAAACCCTCTCTACTGTGCCCAGGCGTGCCCAAGCTTGTTTTTGGCACACTGTGCGGAATGACCAGCCTTTTGCTCACAGCAAACAAAAAATTTCATCTCACCAACCATAACAAATCTCACCAACACGAATACGCCGGGAAAGGAGTATGCAAACGCGTGTTTATACTTTTTAATCCGACATTTTCCGGATTATCGAGTCGTCGGATTAGCGAGTGTCGGATGAACGGGGGGATGCTGTATTGGATCACCATATAACGCAAATCAAATCCAAGTGTGTCACAATTGAATTAATAGTGCTCAGAAATGGTGCAAAGCATAATAGCATAGCAACGTGTGGATTTTTCTTTGCGACTAGATACGAAGAATGTATGCTTTCCCTGTGCTTCGTTGGAACAGCACTAAACTTCTATTGAATCAGACTATGCCGACTTTGCCTTTCCAAGCCCTTCCCCCCGCATTGGTAACATATTGATAAAAAAATCAATTGGCAAATCAAAGTTGGCCCCCCGTGGAGAATAGAAGAACTATGAAAGTGATGATGATTTCAAAATTTTGCAATCTTAAAATCCATTTATTTTGCGAACAAATTATTTTAATAAAATCACAACGGCTACTCAATAGACATATCTACTACCAGATTTAAATAAAATGCCCCATTTGCAAAATAAAAGCAAAATTTTGAAATCTTCACTTTCATAGTTCTTATGTTCTCCACGGGGGCTATCTTTGATTTGCCAATCGCATGTTTGTGTTCCCTACATTCGTTCCTGGTGTCCAGCGTAGTGGCACGGGAAGCAGTCTGAAAGCATGCTTCTGATTGAGTAAATTAAATTGCCAAACTTTCCTCAAACGAACGTCCCTTCAGGGAACAGCCCTACCCCCCTGAGTTCCAGTGAGAAGAATAAAAAGCTCGGAAACTTTTTTTTTTTCAGAAAACAAGTTGATCTCCTCTCCCATTATTTATCCGTGCAATCCTGCCTAGGTACACAGGTTCGATAGAGCGTTACCGACTTACGAGAGATAAAATAATAGCAACAATCGAAAAACAAACACACTCACCTTGAGTTGGGATTGAACATGACGCAACCGTACATGGTGACCCTCTGGTTCCGTTCCGGGGCCAGCATATCCGAGTTATTGGACGGCCGGGAGAAGGAATTGGCAATCGAAGGTGAGGACCGGCGCAAGATGCCTTCCTTTCCGACCATCATCGCTCGCATCGTCGTCGTCGTCGTCGATGTGGGATCCTCCAGTAGTTCACCTTCGACGTGCACGTTCACCAGCTCCGGAACCATGTGACCAGCGACGTCCACCGAATGGGAAACAACCGATTTACCACTCGTAACGTCAAACACTTTCATCTTCGTCCCGATCGGTTGAGGTCCCGTTTTCAATTGATTGCCCATAAATGACCAATCAACCGGAGGACCGTGTACCTTGGTGGCAAATTACCAAACCGGCACCCCGGCACACGATGTTGGTATGGTGTTAATTTTAAATTAAAATCGTTATCGATCTTCGGGCATTTGGCTTGGCACGGCCGGGGATTTATTTTCGAACTCGGTCACCGGAAACACTCGTATTATACGCTTCACACAAGGATAGTGTCTGTTTTGTTTGTTTCGATTTTATTTTTTTCCATTTGGTAGGTGGTTATGCATGTGATTGCCCGCCGCCGCACACCCAGTGCCTCGGGGCAACCGTAAACAGAGGCAAAAGCGCCACACATGCCTCGACATCTGTTCAATGCCGTCGCATGATAAGCAGACGATGCGATGATGGGTGGGAGTGGCGGGGGCAGGATGGAAATATTTTTGTTTTTGTTTTCAACAAGCACTGTCAAATCGCACCATTCTGATCAAATTAGTTTTATCTTTTTCCGTTACGGCTGGCCGGCTGTCCTTTGATTTGGGTCGAATAGGATGTTGGATTTGCTGCATATTGTTGTGCTTCCAGCTAAGCTGCTAAAAATGCCTACAAGGATCACAAATGGTTGTTAGAGGGGACTCACGTTTGCCCGGCGGCTCTGATGGTGATTAGGGAAGTAGGCGATGGCATGGCAATTGTCAATGTAACATTTTGTATTTGGAAAATACAGGTATGTAAGTCTTGTGTTCCGGGAAACTCAATGTGGAATGGCTTCCATTGGAGTAGTTACGCATGATTGGATTTAATCATATTGAGGTAAATATGAAAGTTGGCATTTGATTTGTTTCATTCTCTCGAGATATTTTACGGATTGTTACCCAGCACTGTCCCATGTTCGGGTGGAACTTTTATGGGTCGTGGATTGCCACTCTACAAAGACTTATGGTTGTTTAAAGACCTATTTGATGTGAAAAGTTCTGTTGCTGGGCTAAAACGTTCTTTTTTTTTCTTCCTGATTGAAAAACTTTCTGTTCTTGGTATTATTAAAGCTGAGTTTTCTGTTCCCAAAAAAAAAGGTTCAGTGGATAAAATCTTTGTTAATATCCTGAATACTGCACAGCTGCTTGGACTTAATATAGCTTTTTGTTTCTGTTTTGTTTTACCACCAACTAAATACTCTTAAAGAGCACCTCCACACAGTTGTTAATTCAGAGCAGATACCCCGATCACATTTCAGCACTGATATGAAGGAAGACTCAAGTGATATACCTTGAGTCTCCCTTCAGTACCCGTACATAATGTTTTCATTGGCAAAAATATGTATGCCATTTGATATCTATATTGTATACATCACGTAATATTCACTGTAGTTTAGTCGGAGTTGTGTGGCAATTATCCACAATTACATGACCGTACCGGAAATTAAACCCACCGCCTCTAGCGAGGGTTTGCTTTCAGGCATCCACTTGTCTGACTAATAAGGGACGCTGAGCTAAACCTACACAACAAATCTTAAATTTCAAGAGTTCTATAATTTTTTTTGAACCCTTTGATTCTGGCTACAGATTCTTTCATTTATTTATATTTATATTTTCACTAATAATCCAACAGGGTACAGGAAATTACTTCTCAAAACAAATCCACTCGGGAGAACCATGAAAACGTCAATTTACGATATATCTATGTTCTGTTTTGATCGGAATGGATTTGACATGAACTCGTCTCGGTACATTATTTCCGCATGAAAGAATGATATTAAAGGGATGTATCACATGAAGATAGGGCGTGGATTATTTTCAGTGTAAATTATTTCTTCTGTACACGGAGAATCTTATCTTTTTTATCTTTCTTTATTAAAGAGACTTTCAGCCATCGGCTGGTTCATCTCTGGCTGCCCCAGAAGGGGGTGCCCCAAATAACAGAGTTGGGATATTTGTGGCCCCAGAAGGGGGTCCCCGGCTAGAAAGTGGGCCTCGGAAGGAGGTTTCCCTAATACAGAGTTTTTTTTTCAGAGTTCGGAGTTCAGGTTTAAACAATAGTACACACATAATAGCTGAGTAGTGTCACAGTTGCTGGCGTAGTTTAGGTAGAAGTAATTTGTCGAAGTCGGTAGTCAGTGTCGATAGCGGGTTGTTGGTGGTCGTGTCAGTTCTTGGGCTTAAATACTTTCATAAAGATTGGCGTCTTTAATAAAGCAGATGACTACTGTTTCGGTTGATGGGTCATTCGATAAGGCGTTCCTTATGCTATTCGGTATTCCGTAGAGACTTCTTTTAAAGGGTGATACGGTCAAAATTTGGTCAATATCAACTTGACGTATTTCTTTCAATTTTGCATTTAAAAAACCTGAACACCCCTCATTTTGAAGGTGTGTGTGTGTAGAATGTTGCTCCTATTTTGATTTTGGAATTCACTCTTCAGTTGTCAAAATGCCGTCCAAGCAAGAAGAGCAGCGTATCAAAATTTTGCTCGCGCATCGCGAAAATCCGAGCTACTCGCACGCAAAGTTGGCAAAATCGCTAAAAGTTGCCAAATCAACCGTTACAAATGTAATTAAAGTGTTTGGGGAACGTTTGTCGACAGCCAGTCTACAGGTGTATCGTCTACAACCATGCATCGAGCCAAAAAACGAGCCGGACTATCGACTTACAAGAAGGTAGTGACTCCAAATCGCGATGATAAACAAAATACGACGGCCAAAGCGCGATCCCGGAGGCTGTACACGACGATGCTGACGAAGTTTGACTGCGTGGTAATGGACGACGAAACCTACGTCAAAGCCGACTACAAGCAGCTTCCGGGACAGGAGTTTTATACGGCAAAAGGAAGGGGAAAGGTAGCAGATGTTTTCAAGCACATGAAACTGTCAAAGTTCGCAAAGAAATATCTGGTTTGGCAAGCCATCTGTACCTGTGGCTTGAAAAGCAGCATTTTCATAGCTTCCGGGACTGTCAACCAAGAAATTTACGTGAAAGAGTGTTTGAATAAACGTCTGCTGCCTTTCCTGAAGAAACACGGTTGTTCCGTACTGTTTTGGCCGGATTTGGCATCTTGCCATTACGGTAAAAAGGCCATGGAGTGGTACGCCGCCAACAACGTGCAGGTGGTTCCCAAGGACAAGAACCCTCCCAACACGCCAGAGCTCCGCCCAATTGAGAAAAACTGGGCTATTGTCAAGCGGAACCTAAAGAAGACCAAAAAAACTGCTAAGGACGAGCAGCAGTTCAAGGCAAACTGGCTTTCTGCGGCGAAGAAGGTGGACAAGGTGGCTGTACAAAATCTGATGGCAGGGGTCAAGCGTAAGGCCCGGCAATTCGGATTTGGAAAAGCGGAAGCCTAACTGAATATTTTTCCTGAATTTTATACTAATTGAACTTGAAAAAGAAATTTAATTTGATTTTTTTAAATAAACGATTTCACCGATTTACACGCGTTTTCCCTTGACCAAATTTTGACCGTATCACCCTTTATTTGCTGAATACTGGGAAATCTACCAAAATGTGTTCCACTGTCATGGTAAGGTTGCAAGTTGCACAAGTTTTCCGGAAATTGGAGGAGCAGCCCACACGGCGAATGAGAACGACTCAAATTTGAGTTTAGTTCACTCATAATCGCCAAAAGTGCAGGAACTCAGCGATGAGTAAAATTTGTCTCATGGTTTCCTATGGAAAACCAAAAAAAATCTGCCGGAAAATGAGGAAATTGACGAAAATTTTATTCAGTCTCGAAGTAGTACCAATAGACTAAGTGAATCCAATCTTTACTTTTCTCAAATTCAGGAATTGTTCCCTGGAAAATCCTGGAAATACCTGGGAAAACATGAGGCAAATTAACTCATCGCTGAGTTCCTGCACTTTTGGCGATTATGAGTGAACTAAACTGAAATTTGAGTCGTTTTCATTCGCCGTGCATGTTGTGAGTTGCACGTGTGTGCCCGGAACGGAGACGATCAAGAGCAAATTTTCATTATGTCGTAAGTAACACTCGCACCAATCCGAGAAAAATAAAGTTTTGTTTTGATGACCGAAAAGTTATTCCTATTTCCAAGTAAACACATATAATCTCATAGTGATAGCAATGTTTAACATATTTAGCAGGGTTTTAATCATACAAATGCAAATCGCTAGCTTTCATGCTAAAAAATACTGGTTTTTGAGTCAAAAGTTATTATACGTCGTTTGGTGGCCCCTATTGTTACTTAAGTCAAAGCGTATTTACCAGGATATTCGGGAGAATTATCAATTACGTCTCCTTACGTGCAGCCCATTCATCATTTTAGGACCACCGAAATCATCTTAGCAACAAACAGTTCGATTTATTCACTTTAATAATGAGAAAGCGAAACGACGAACGTACACTTTTCACGGGTTTCTCAGCGCTGTTACTTAAGTCAAACATAGAACTTAAGTCAAACATAGAAATTGGGTGACTTAAGTAACATCGAAAACTATTTTGATCGGAAGGTGATTACGTCAAAAAGCAATTTGACTGGTAAATAAATTTAAAAATGGGATTTGATCCTATATTCGGACAGTATATAGTGTAATAGCAGGAGAATCGATTGACACTGATAGCTCGACTTTGTTTACCTTCACAGAAAAACAAAACTACCCACCGCTTGAGTTTTTTAAACTCAAATTTGAGTTATTTGACCTCTGCCCGTTTCATTTCCTCTCGCTATTGTTGTCAAAGATAGAACGAAAGATTCGACTCAACCGTCTAGTTCCGTACGAGAAGCCAAAATTGAGTAATATGCGATATACCCAAATTTGAGTTAATTGAACTTAATTTTGGGTAGAAAAAATTGAAAATAACTTAGCGATGGGTAATTTTTTTTTGCCGTGCTTAAATGCAAACTACTTTGAGCCGGTTTACCCAAATTTGGCTTATCGTACGGAACATGGGAGATGAGTGAAAAGAACTTAATTTTGGGTTGTTTTGAATTTCTGTGACTATATGCGATTTACTCAAATTTGGGTTATTGGGCTGAACCCCGGAATTGAGGGAAAAACACTTAATTTTGGGTAGTTTTTCATCTCCGTGTACACGCTATTTGGAGGCTACTCAGTGACTAGGTAGATCGCACTCTTTTTTGCATGCTGCACACTTAAATTTGATGCCGAGATGGGCACCACCGAGCAACTCGGCATTTTATTTGCTGGAACTCAGTGAAAAACTTACCTAGATTCAGCAAAATTTATGATTGTCAGGTGAATCTCGGAAAGTTTTTCACTGAGATCCAGTAAAGTAAAATGCCGAGCTTCTCGGTGGTGCCCATCTCGGCAAAAAAATATAAACAACAATCAATACGAAACTATCGATTTGAAATTGACTCACTACTTGACTAGCCTATTGGTCCCAAGCAAATCGATTAACGTACCCCATTCTAATCGAAATTCTAGTACTACACAATGTTTGTTTTGATTCGGTATGAAAGTTTGACAGATAAAATGAGGAGTTAGTGGAATTTCCTATGTTTCGAGGGGTGAACCGCTTAGCTTGGGACCGAAGATAGTACCAGA